GATAGCACGTCTACATATCGGTTAAATAATACCCGAAAAAACCTATATAGGTTTGCAGATAATTTTGTGATTGAAGGGCTTCTTACTGAATGGAAAGTCCCAACTTCTGTTTACCCTCGTTTTGACAAGTTCCTGCTTTATTAAACTACTTATTTGAATATCAGATTCGTTTTCCTTCAATATAAATGCCCAAAATTCTTTGGAGTTACAAGGAGTACCCTTAATACCATCTATCACTTCTTGTCTTATAAAACTTATATAATCATATTTTGATATAATTTTTTTATGGTTTTTTTTCTTTTTTTTTTTGGCATAGCTTTTTCAATTTCTCTATTACTTTAGTTTGAGTTTAGAATATTCTTTTGGTATTTTTCTCTTCTTTTTAATTACATTGAAAAGACATCAAAGTAACGAACGGCCAAATAGCATAAAGAAACTTTAATATATGACAGTTATTTTCAATTCGATTGATGTGTTTAAGCTTTGGATTTTGCCATTTAATAAGGAACTTTCCGTTTTGAGTTTTCCTTGGAGGTCGGTTTGTTTGTTATTTTACAATATCACTTATCTTGCAGCATTCAAAAAGACAATAGATATAAGAAGATGTGGTATGACTGTCAATGAGACAACTCTCCATCCAAGTCAAAATTTATAAAAGTAAACCATTATAGGTCAAAGTACGGTCTTCAACACGGAGCCTTGGCTCACACCGAACAGTAAGCTATAAAGGGCCCCAAAAATTACTAGTGTAAAACCATTCAAACGGGAAAACCTACGGTCTAATCTATATAAAAAACGAGAAACGAGAAACACGTATGAACCAAAACAAAAAACGACAACTACTGAACATCAGATTCCCGACTTAGGACAGGTGCAAACAAATGCAGCGGGTTTAAACGTTTTTATGGTACCAAACCTTCACCCTTTTTCTGAAACAACAGTGTAACATCACAACATAGAAAGACACACTATAAAATATCAACTGAAATAGCTTAACTCAATCAAAGGACATATTAACACCAGTGAACATACACTGAACAAATAAATTTGACCTATGATACAATGTAAATACAAAATAAATAAAAACTAAGGGAAGAATAATAAAAGTAACATGTTATATCGGTATGAAATGTTAAACAACATAAGAAAAATAATATGCTCGAACAAAAATATCAGCCATTTGCAATAACTTTAAACACAGGTAATTGAAAAGTTTGTCTAACTAAATTATCTTTCGTTCTCCAATCTAGCTTCCAGTCGTTTCCATCAGGCACTTTGGATTTGATTGTCATTCATTGGATATGCCGTCTTTTCCCATTTACATCAAACCATAATTGCTTTGTTTAATAAACTGTTGGTGTATTAACATTCCTAAAGAATTCCAACTGCCCAGTAACCAGTGCTGGCATGCTTATAATCTGGGACCATTACGCTATTACACTAATTGTACTAGTCAAAGTTATAATGCATTGTGAGTGTAAATATGCATTTGATAAATTACTTAATAGGAAATCAGTAAATGTGTATTGAAGACTTTTGTTTGTCATTTCGTCAATTTTCGGTTTTTGTCATAGCTTTTGTCTTTTTTTGTTTTTTACTTAAAAGTTTTGAATGCTCCTTTTGCATCTTCTGCCTCTTTTTATTAAAATGATTTATGGTCCAAGTTTTATCTTTGAATGTACCAGAGACATATAATACAATTATTACATGTCTCTGAATGCACTTTTATATTACTAGTATCTTTTATATTTTTAAACTTTTTTTTATAGGTTTTTTTTTGAAAAAGGTCCTAACTGTTTGTCTTCGGGTTCCAAATTAAAACAATTTTCAGTCTTTCTATCTTTAAAATAACAATAAAAAAAGTATGCTGTTAATCAGTCTACTTCAGCAAGGATATGAGGAAGAACAAATCAAACGTATCACTCAAAACAAGTTCAACATGTGTCACCACAAATTGGTTGATCTTTAGTGTTGCATTTTCTCCACTATAAGTAAATTTCATAGGCTCAAAATTTTGTACGGCAGTCACGCATTTTGTCTACAAAAGACTTATCAGGGACGCTTGAATCATAAGAGTTAAATAGACCAAATAAAGTATATGAAGCTGAAGAGCATTGGAGACTCATAATTCCGAAAAAGTTTTGTCAAATACAGCTATTATAATCTATTCCTGAGATAGAAAATCCTAAGTTTTATAAACTCAATTCATAAGTATGACCAAATCAATGATATTTCATGACAAAATAGAAGTGCTGACTACTGGGCTGGTGATACCCTCGAGGAGGAAACCTCCACCAGCAGTTACATCGACCAAGTGGTTGTAGATAAACTAATCATAGATACCAGGCTTAAATTTTTGCACGCTAGATACACGTTTTGTCCACAAACGACTCATAAATATAAATGAGTGGTATTTTACAAGGTCCTCTGGGGTAAAAAATTACATTGTAGCCACTTTATCATTTTTTTTAAATTATGTAATGCATGCAAAGCAGTATATGTCATCCCTGCAAATGCACCTAGGCTGGCTACCTTTGAACATATTTAAATTCCAATAGTGAGCAAGATCACATATATCATCCTAGCAACAACAAATCATATTGGTTATTTTTACAAGTCCCCCTCTCAAAACATATTGCATATTTCAGATAAACAAGTTCCCCTCCTGACACAATGGTCCCCAGTTTTAGATTTTAATGATTATAAGAGTCATCTGTGGTTTTGGTGAGTGGAAACCTTCATTTAAATAAAAAGATTTGTGGAAAAAAAAGGGACTAGCAGGGCAACAAGGAAGTGATGAATAATGGACGAACAGATTGATGAATAAACAGGTCAAAAACATTACACCCACCCAAATTTCGTAGCATGGGGTACAAAAATCAGTCGAGTTTCAAGTTCAAAGGCTATGATATATTTTGTTAGCTATTGGATACAAAAATATAGAGATCTGGTATGATTGTCAATGAGACAACTATCCAACAGATTTCAAATGGAGAGGATGTTAGCAATCATAAGCCACAGTAAGCTTTAAACAATGAGAAAATATCAAACTGTAGGCTATAAGAGGCATGAAAAATGTAAAACAATTCAAACAAGAAAACTAACGGCCTAATTTATAACTTCACAGTTTACAAAAAAAAAAACAAATATGACAGACATGAACCATTGACCACTGGACTACAGGCTCCGGACTTCAGACAGGCACTTATAGAATGTGGCAGGGTTAAACATGTTTGTGAGTGCACAACCCTCTCCCATCAGTACAGTACATACAATCATTAAAGAGGGCTTTTGTAGCTAATTTCTCTCATTAGTTCATCTTCAGTTATCACTGTCAACTCTAAGATTGTGATTTCCAACCCCACTTGGGGTGAGGCATGTTTGACTGATCTTAATGGACAAGGATTGCCAGTTGTCCTGCAGAAAGTTGTTGGTTCTCTCCAGGTAGTTAAATGTCCTCTACCAATAACTAGAGGCTCTAAAGAGCCTGTGTGGATCACCTTGGTGTATGTGCATATTCAACAAAGGACACTCTCCAACATTGTAGACAAGAACAGAATTCATGACCAAAATCTGTTTTGTTGATCTTATATTGCTGATCATTTAGCCTGTTTAGTTTCTCTCTATCTTCTTTAGTTTTTGCTCAAAACACAAAAGAGGATAAAAAAATCCTCATTTAAGGGCAATCACTCCTATAGAGTGACAGTCCACTAAACTATATCGTCAAAATTTGACTTGTTAGTAGATCTTGACTTGATGATTATTTTTGTGATTTAAAGTGTATCTTTATCTATTAAAATTCTATCATATATGGCAAAACGCAAAAAAAAAGGATAAAATCGTCTTTAAAGGGCAATAACTCCAATAAGGAGTCGTCTGACCATTTCCTTCATATTGTCCTCATTGTAGATTTTGTTTTGCTGATCATTTTTGCCAAGCCAAGTTTCTATCTGTCTATTTAAATTTTCAGAAATAAGGCAAAAATGCAAAAAAATGGTCAAAATCATCATCAAATAACTCTAAGGAGTCAATTGACCATTTCCACCATGTTGACCTATTTGGAGAACTTGTCTTGCTGACCATTTTAAAGTTTCTCTGTTCTAGTTTTCAATTTAGTAGGCAAAAATGAAAAAAAAAGGTAAAATTCGTCATTTAAGGGCAATAACTCCTATAAGAAGTCATCTGACAGTTTAGACAATTGGTAGAGCTCAACAATTTGAACATTTTTGCTCTGGTCAGATTTTCTCTCTTTATAATGGTTTTCAAAATAATAGACAAAACTTTCATTTTACCCCCTATGTTCTATGTTTAGCCATGTTTGCCATTTTGGTTGGTAGGCAGGGTCATTGGACATATTTTTTAAACTAGATACCCCAATGATGTGATTAAAATTTGGCAAAGTAGTTTCAGTGGAGAAGATTTTTGTAAAAGATGACAAAAATTTACGAAAAATTGAAAAAAATTTACTATAAAGAACAATAACTCCTTAAGGGGTCAATTGACAATTTTGGTCATATTGAATTATTTATAGATTTGACTTTGCTGAACATTTTTGCTGTACAGTTTATTTCTATCTATAATAATATTCAAGATACATGTAATAACCAAAAACTGTAAAATTTCCTTAAAATTACAATTTCAGGGTGGACAGATTCCATGTCAGATTTTCTCTAAATGCTTTAGTTTGATAAGATATATATAAACCAAAAACTTTATTTTACCCCTATGTTTTTATTTTAGCCATGGCGGACATCTTGTTGGCAGGCGGGGTAATCAGACACATTTTTCAAACTAGATACCCCAATAATGATTGTGGCCAAGTTTGGTTAAATTTGCCCCAGTAGTTTCAGAGAAGAAGATTTTTGTAAAAGTTAATGGTTGCCGGACGCCAAGTGATGAGAAAAGCTCAAAAATGGTCAACCAGGATCATTCGAACTCTAGCCTTATTTAAAACCATCCATTGCTTCTAAATATACATATATATATATATATAAAATTCGTGAAGGAATTTTCATTTTTTATTATATTCAGTACACATTTCTTTAGCAAATTTTTGTATAGTTCTTTTGGAAACACTCATATCTTCACTTTTAAAGTATTTCTCTGACTGCTCAAGCCAGAACTCTTTAGTCCGTTCAAAGTAATCATTTACAGGCTCATCTTCAGTCTTCACGGGAACGTCACATCCTTCCAATATGTCGTCTAAGTCATCATCATCATCGTCGTCATCATCATCTGACACTACAATAAGGCATAAAATTATTATTAATTGACTTTCAATATTGATAAACATGAGTCTTTTCAAATGATACTGTGGATTCATTATTATTCATAAGATACCAATTTTTGTGGATTTTGTTGGTACAGGCGAACCTCAAATTTAAATATTCAACGAAGTACAAATTTTCTATAGGCTTATGCAGACTTTTGTAAGGACCACGAAATCAAATATCAATGAAAATACTATGGTTCCTTTATCCACGAAAAATTGTTATCCATGAAAATAAATGAATCCACAGTATGTAATGATTTGGTTCATATGTGTATCATGTGTATATTGAGTTACCAAACTTTGTTTATGGCTTTCATTTGAGATGTGGGATATGTCAATGAAACAACAACATATGGACAAAAACAACTTATAAAGGTTAACATATGTTTATCTACAATAAAAAGGTATCTATCTTTACAATGTGTCATGATTTTCTAGAGTCTAAATAGTCAATCAAGCATTTTCAATGCAGAAAATATGAAATAATTGCTAATGAGAAAACTATCCACCAAATAACTTGCATAAAAGCAACTATAGGTTGTCATATAGCCTTCAACAATGAGCAGAACCCTTGATAGTCCATCAAATAGTGTTGTTTTTGGCTATTATCTGGAAAACTAAAAATTGAATGGAAAAATTCTACAGATAAATTAACATGACCTCTTTATTTTTATATTTATTCACTTACTTATAGTTTGAAACAAGACTAATGTTAAGACCTTTATAGCTGACTATACAATATAGGCAATAACTCCTGTTATAATCGTTGCCCTTTACTTGGACAACAAAAGTTTTTAGTAAGTAAAATCCTTGTTTCTGCTGTGCAAAATGCCTTTGCCAAAATGATACAAGATATAATTTTTTAGAAGGAAAGGCTGTAAAGTTATAACTTATTTATGCTTTCATTTGGCTTTAAAAAAGAAGAAGACAAAAAATAACATATAATTAACACATGTGAAAAAAGTAAATTCTCAATTTGATCGGATCCTTCTTATTTGATAATCAACCTTCCATGTCCTCACTTTTCTTTGTTTTGCCTTCATCGTCTGAGGAATCAGAGTCCTCACAAACCTTAAATAAAAACAGGAAACATTTATACAGTCATATTACTTTCAATATTCAATTCAAAGGACATATACCAATACATATAGAAAGAAACTTTATCATGAAATTATGAAAAAGGCTACTAAAAATAACAAGAAGGTTCTTGCTATCCATCACTTCTCAATGTTTGGCTGTAAAGGAGCAGTAACTTCTCCCTAAAATTCTGAAGTGTGGTTACCCCTCATTAACTCCTTGAAAAATGGAGCTACAATCTAATGTGCTATTTAAAGGAATGATACATACCGTTCCTCTAAAAACACAACACAAAATTTCGCACAAGGATCTTCTCAAATTATAATTATTAATTAATGAAAATATGACATTATATAAATTAAAGAACCTTAGTGAGCTCGCTCACATACCCCACGTCCCCACATTGAGAAATAAAATAACTGTAAGAAAAAAAAATTGTATAAGAAAAAAAAATTGAATCATAATTTCCTCTCGATATGCACATCTACATAGTATGTCCTTATTATCTACAAAGTTTCATGAAATTCTGTTGTGTGGTTTCAGAGGAGTTGCGATGACAAACTGTTGCAGAGGTATATTGAAGCAAATAAGTTCAAACGGGCGTAACTCCTAGAAAAAAAATTGAATCATAATTTCCTGTCAATATGCACATCTACCTAGTATGTCCTTATTATCTACAAAGTTTCATGAAATTCTGTTGTGTGGTTTCAGAGGAGTTGCGATGACAAACTGTTGCAGAGGTATATTGAAGCAAATAAGTTCAAAGGGGCGTAACTCCTAGAAAAAAAATTGAATCGTAATTTCCTGTAGATATGCACATCTACGTAGTATGTCCTTATTATCTGAAAAGGTTTCATGAAATTCTATTGTGTGGTTTGAGAGGAGTTGCGATGACAAAAGGTTGCAGTAGTATATTGGGCAAATAAGTTCAAAGGGGCGTAACTCCTGGAAAAAAAATTGAATCGTAATTTCCTGTCGATATGCACATCTACGTAGTATGTCCTTATTATCTACAAAGTTTCATGAAATTTTGTTGTGTGGTTTCAGAGGAGTTGCAATGACAAACTGTTGCAGTAGTACATAAAAGTAAATAAAATGCTTCGCTGGGCGCAGCTTGATACGACCGCAGAGGTCAAACCCTGAACAGTTGGGGCAAGTATGGACACAACATTCAAGCTTGATACAGCTCTGAATTTGGATTGTGATTAAATATTTGACACAGCATAGGTTTCTGACACAGAAAGAATGTGGTCTAAGAACTTCAATTTTTTTAATTTACCTATTATGGTCCAATTTCCAAAATCAAAATACATGGTTAGATTCAGCATATCAAAGAACCCCATATATTCAATTTTTGTTGAAATCAAACAAAGTTTAATTTTGGACCCCAACTTGGACAAACTTGAAAACTGGTCCCATAATCAAAAATCTAAACACATGTTTAGATTCAGCATATCAAAGTACCCCAAGAATTCAATTTTTGTTATAATCAAACTTAGTTTAATTTTTGACCCTTTGGACCTTAATGTAGACCAATTTAAAAAATGGGACCTAAAATTAAAAATACGGTTAGATTTGGCATATCAAAGAACCCCATATATTCAATTTTTGATGAAATCAAACAAAGTTTAATTTTGGACCCTTTTGACCTCAATATGAACCAATTTGATAGCGGGCCCACAAATAAAAAATCTAAATACATGGTAAGATTCAGCATATCAAAGAACCCCATATATTCAATTTTTGCTGAAATCAAACAAAGTTTAATTTTGGACCCAAATTTGGACCAACTTGAAAACTGGGCCAAAAATCTAAAATCTAAATACATGTTTAGATTCAGCATATCAAAGAACCCCATATATTCATTTTTTGTAGAAATCAAACAAAGTTTAATTTTGGACCCCAACTTGGACCAACTTGAAAACTGGGCCCATTATCAAAAATCTAAACACATGTTTAGATTTAGCATATCAAAGAACCCCAAGAATTCAATTTTTGTTAAAATCAAACTAAGTTTAATTTTGGACCCTTTTGACCTCAATGTGGACAAAGTTGATAACGGGGCCCAAAAATCAAAAATCTAAATACATGGTTAGATTCAGCATATCGGAGAACCCCATATATTCAATTTTTGTTAAAATCAAACAAAGTTTAATTTTGGACCCTTTGGACCTTAATGTAGACCAATTTGAAAACTGGACCCAAAATTAAAAATCTAAATACACGGTTAGATTCGGCATAACAAATAAATAAATGTGGTCAAAGATTTTACAAATCTAATGCGCCATACTGTGCAATTAAAGATTACTTCTTGAAATTTTTCAATATTTGAGATTTGAAAAAAAAATAATATTTGAAGAATAATTCTTTTTAATTTCTGAAATCTGAAATGAAAAAAAAATTGACCCCCACAATTTCTTTAACCCCCCCCCCTTTTTTCCCCCAAAAAAATCTTTCCCTCAAGATATGGTCATAATATCTCAATTCAAATTTCCAATGGAGTTTGCAACCATAATTACCCATTTAAATTTACCATAGTGCTAACTTAATCTATTTTATAATAGAATTTAAAATATAGTGTCAAATCTTTCATATGGATTTTGTTGTAAAAAAAAAAGATGCAACATTTGCAGATATTTTTACTGGTCTTCCTTTATAAATATGCATTTCTTTAAACATAATTTAAAAGCAGTGTAAGGGAAGTAACCAAAACGTTGTATTTGGATTACCTCCCTTACACTGTTTTAAATTATCTTAATTGTTCATTAACCATTACTTTATACATAATTTAAAAGCAGTGTAAGGGAGATAATTTCAATGATGTATTTGATTTATCTCCCTTACACTGCTTTATGTTTTGTACTAAAGTATTTGTCCATTAACCAGGACAACCTTGTTTTCCCCCCTTTTTTGCCCCTAATTCTTAAACGGTTTGAGCCATAACCCCCCAAAGCAAATCCTAACCATCCCTTTGTGGTATGGAAACTTGTAGTATAATTTCAGAGAGATCCATACACCGTTCCACAGTTATTGTCTGGAAACTAGAAAATGCTTATTTTTGGCCCCTTTTTGGCCCCTAATTCCTTAACTGTTGGTACCATAACCCCCAAAATCAATCCCCACCTTCCTTTTGTGGTATTGAACCTTATGGTAAAATTTCATAGAGATCCATTCTCTTAAACTAAAGTTAGAGTGCGAAAACTAATGCGTCTTCGGACAACGACGACGACGCCATTGTCATACCAATATACGACCACACAAATTTTTTTGCGGTCGTATAATAAGTTCAAAGGGGCGTAACTCCTAGAAAAAAAAAATAGATTGTAATTTCCTGTCGATATGCACAACTACATAGAATGTCCTTATTATCTAAAAAGGTTTCGTGAAATTCTGTTGTGTGGTTTGAGAGGAGTTGCGATGACAAGAAACAGGACTGACGGACTGACAGACGGACGGGTCAAAAACATTATACCCTCCGCAACTCGTTGCGTGGGGTATAATAATGCATAGCTGGAAGGGGGATAGAGCCGATTACTACCCTGAGAAACATTGTCAACAGAGGCATTTTAAAATGAAGTATAACAAGCATTCTGAGAGTATTGCATGGCAATACATAGTCCACTACCGGTTAAGAATTCATTGTACTGAAACAAAATGCTAACTTGATCTATAACTTTGCATGGTGTAAACTATATTACAAATATCAAGTCATTATCTTCAAGCATGGCGAAAAAAAGTGTGGAAAACTGATTATTTGAATGTATTTTCTATGTCCAAGGACCATATCTCAAAATCATCAGGCCGGAACAAAATTCAAAATTGATCTGTAACTTGTCATGATAAAAGTATATACCAAATTTCAAATCAATATCTTAAAGCACAAAGAAAAAAAGTGTGGAAAACTGATTTGCCGGACTGGCGGATGGACAGACAGACAGATGGAGTGCAAATCTAAATTCCCCTTCGACTTCGTCGGTAGGGGACTAATAAATTGTAATGCCAGATTTTTTATGGGTTAATAGGAGGAAGATAATTTACTCTATTACCCTTCAAGGAGGCGCTTGATCAATTGTGCGATTTATTGAATAGGGGTGGTTGTTATATCCAAGACATCATAGTTTATTACTTTGAATTTTAAAATTAAATAAAACATTCACCTGGGTTGACAATGTTTCTCCAGCTAACAATCTGCCATATCAACCTATCAGCTATGTGTTATTTATATAATAATACACTAATAAGATTATACTTCTCGTAAACACAACTTATGGCATTATTAAGCTACAAATATTTAAAAATATAACAATTCACATACAACAAATCTTTTCCCTATATCCTATTCTTAAACACTTTTTAAGAAGGCACTGACTTGCAGATATTTAAACACACAATTAACAACAACATTTTCTTAGAACCACAGTATTAAAGGTTAACAGAAATCAGTAATACTATACTAACCTTTCCTTTTTCATCATCCTGAATTATAATCCTCCATTCATCCATTTTATGTAAATCAATAGAATATAAATCTGACAAAGTCCATTGTTTATCACCAGATTCATAAGTCCCACCATATAAATATAACATACTATTTTTAACAGTCAATGCTGACCCCATTCTAGGACTAGGAACAAATAAGTCTTTGTCTACACTCATGTCTGTATCATCCATGTCCATAGTATTACTGCATTGTGAAGTAGAACTTTGAGGTCCAACTTTTACAGTAAATACACCATCAGTTACTTCTTCACTAACCCCACATGCCCCCTTTTCCTCATCTAACTTGAGTTTTTTAATTTCCTGTGTTGCTTCATTTTCATCTCCCATGTTTACATTATCATTCTCTTCCTCGTCACTTTCTTCTTCATCTCCTTCTTCCATATCTTCATCATTTTCTTTATTTCTTCTCCTTTTCTTCTTTTCTTTTTCGTCCTTCTTCCCTCTTAATAAATGATATATAAATCAACATCTGTGAATATCATCTTCACAAGTATAAAAATTTGTAAGGGTTCCGCAGAACCCAGTGTCTCGCCTACTTTTGCTATTAATCGCAGGCTCAACAAAAATGAGATGAGGAAAAAATTTAATAAAAATATTCCTCTCGATACCATTTTTATATTGTAAGAAGCTTCTGTCCAAGTTTGGTAAAAATTCAGGATAGTTATGAATCTAATAAATGTTTTAAAAAATTTAACTGCAGACTGTATCTAATGTTAACTGGAAGAAAAACTAAGTCCATTTATAAGTAAAATATGGATAAACAAGTAAAAATTTTAATAAAAAAAAATCTGGATACTATCTTATGATCATAAACAAGCTTTTGTCCAAGTTTGGTAGAAATCCAGGATAGTTTGAGAAAGTTATTAAAATTTAAAAAACTTTAACCACAGAGTGAATATTTGTGGACGCCACCAACGACGACGACACCGACGGAATGTAGGATCGCTATGTCTCGCTTTTTCGACAAAAATGTAAGAATAACATGATTAAATAATGAGTTAGAATATCATTGGCAGGAATGCAAAAATTCCTTTTTTCTGAATGTATACCGAAAAAGAAAGAGATAAAAGCACAGAATTTTTACATGTAAAATATGTTTATTACTGAATGTTAGAAGCAAACAAGAAGTTGCATCTGATATCATGAAAAGTATATCACCACTCATTGATTATTAGAAATTCACAAAATATTTCATGTTTAGCAGGTTAATAACAATTCAAATATCTGTTCAGCAAGTTATGTAACTTTACAGAAAAATATCGTCGTCTATTGTAAGTAGTTCCTATCAATCTAACTTAAGCAGAAAACTTAACATTGAAAATTGCTAATTAATTCAATATCACTGGACCATGACCTAGGAAGCAGGGCCTCAAAAAAGTTGTCAAACTGATATGTACAAATAGTAATGCAACTTTATAGAAAATATCATTGTTCTATCACAAGTAGTTCCTATCAAACTGAGAAGACTTAAAATTAAAAATTGCTTATTAATTAAAAGTGGCTGGACCATGACCTAGGGGGCAGGGCCTTTAAATAGTCGTGAAACTGATATGAACTGATAGTAATGCAACTTCATACAAAATATCATTGATCTATCATATATAAGTAGATTCTATCAAACTAACTTAAGAAAAAAACTTAACATTGAAAATTGCTAATTAATTCAAAGTCACTGGACCACATCATAGGGGGCAGGGCCTCAAATAGTCATCAAACTGATATGTACTGATAGTAATGCAACTTTATATTAAAGATCAATGATCTATCACAAGTAGTTCCTATCAAATTGACTCACTGGTAAGCAGAAAACTAAACAATTGTTGATGCCGACATTGTCATTGATGTCGGAAAAACAATCCCTATGTCTTGCTTCCAGGTGAGACAAAAACTGTTTTAATATTTATGAATGACCAGACAAGGGGGGTAGCAATATATCAACCACACTCAGATTGGGGGTATATTAATAACCATATAAACATTTTATTCCCTTCAATGATTTTATAAAAAATTAAAGATGTATATAAAAGTTGCATTATTTTCATTTCAAACTGACCAGTCTAAACACATTCTTGGAATGTTGTCTTACTTAGTAAATAACTATTTGAATGTGAAAGAATTATCAATCAATTTCAAGTCAAACACTACATAACATCACCTACCTTGGTGCCATATTAAACCATTTTCCCTTTTCCATATCCAACATATACATATTATTATAAAACAACCTTAACACTACATAACATCGTCTACATTGGTGCCATATTGAACCATTTTCCATTTTCCATATCCAACATATACATATCATTATAAAACCTGCATAACACTACATAACATCACCTACCTTGGTGCCATATTGAACCATTTTCCCTTTTCCATATCCAACATATACATATCATTATAAAACCTGCCTTCTAACTGCTCTTCATCTTCTTCCTGATAAAACAATTATGATGGGTGGTTCAATATTAATGCATCATTCTTGTTAAACGAAACTTTATTAAGATAGATATAAAGGCAGATTTTTTTTTTTGGGGGGGGGGGGGGGGGGGGGGGGGATGGGGGGCAGGGGCCCAGGGGTCCCCACTTATGGAGCGACATATATGGTAAAGGCAATAACAAAAATGGAGTTTGCAACCATAATTACCCATTTAAATACATCATAAAAGTCTTAAAATAGAAAATGACATACATAATCATGTCTAAAAATAATATATCTTTAATCAGCATTTTTATTAGTAACTTCTAATAAAATGCTCCGCAGGGCGCAGCTTGATACGACCGCAGAGGTCGAACCCTGAACAGTTGGGGCAAGTATGGAAACAACATTCAAGTTTGATACAGCTCTGAATTTGGATTGTTATTAAATATTTGACACAGCATAGGTTTCTGACACAGAATGAATGTGGTCTAAGAACTTAAAAATTTTAAATTGGACATTCACCTATTATGGTCCAATATCCAAAATCTAAATACATGGTTAGATTCAGCATATCAAAGAACCCCAAGAATTAAATTTTTGATGAAATCAAACAAAGTTTAATTTTGGACCCTTTTGACCTCAATGTGGACAAAGTTGATAACGGGGCCTAAAAATCTAAATACATGGTTAGATTCAGCATATCAAAGAACCCCATATATTCAATTTTTGTTGAAATCAAACAAAGTTTAATTTTGGACCCCAATTTGGACCAACTTGAAAACTGGGCCCATAATCAATAGCACGAAAGCCCTGTAAAGGCAGTTAATTACAGGTTGTGTGTATTTTAAGTCCAGTTATATCATTATCTTGCATAGTACAGTGTACTTATCAGAGGTGCCTTTCAGTATTTAAGATTTAGAGTTCTCTAATGATATTGAATAAGTTTTATGAATGTCATATTCTGAGCACTATATGAAGGCGATTGTTCTCACTTGTTTATGAACTAGTGCATTATGTCCAGTTTGTACCTTTTTTATCTATGTTTATAGTCAAATTAGTTATCAAAGGTACCAGGATTATAATTTAATACGCCAGACGTGTGTTTCGTCTACATAAGACTCATCAGTGACGTTCAGATCAAAATAGTAACAAAGCCAAACAAGTGCAAAGTTGAAGAGCATTGAGGACCCAAAATTCCAAAAAGTTGTGCCAAATACGGCTAAGGTAATCTATTCCTTGGATAAGAAAATCCTTAGTTTTTTCATTGGCAATCATAACACATCTCCTTATTTATATAATGATCTATATTCAACGACCTCAGGTACAAATAAAATGCTCCGCTGGGGCACAGCTTGATACGACCGCAGAGGTCAAACCCTGAACAGTTGGGGCAAGTATGGACACAACATTCAAGCTTGATACAGCACTGAATTTGGATTGTAATTAAATATTTGACACAGCATAGGTTTCTCACACAGAATGAAAGTAGTCTAAGAACTTAAAATTTTTTAATTTACCTATTCAAACCATATCATTATTATTTGCTTTTATATATAAATCAGAAATAACCAATTTAAAATGGAAAATTTTAAAGAAAAAAAAGGAAAAAAAAATCCCCCCCCCCAAATTTTTTGAAACCCCCTTATGATTCATCACCCCCAAACTCAATCCCAGCCTTCCCTTTGTGGTATGGTACCTTGCAGTATAATTTCAGAGAGATCCATACACTTGAACACAAATTATTGTCTGGAAACTAGAAAAATGCTTGGGTTTTTTGCACCTTTTTGGCCCCAAATTCCTAAAAGTTTAGGGCAATTACCCCAAACTCAAACCAAGCTTTCCCTTTGTGATATGGAACCTTGCAGTACAATGTCATAAAGATCCATACACTTACACACAAGTTATTGTCATGAAACTAGAAAAATGCTTGTTTTTTTGCCCCTTTATGGCCCCTAATTCCTAACATTTTGAGACAATTACCCCCAAAAACAATCCCAGCCTTCCCTTTGTGGTATGGTACCTTGCAGTACAATTTCAGAGAGATCCATACACTTGAACACAAGTTATTGTCTGGAAACTAGAAAAGTGCTTATTTTTGGCCCCTTATTCCTAAACGTTTTGGGCAAGTACCCCCACACTCAATTCCAGCTTTCCCTTTGTGATATGGAACCTTGTAGTACAATTTCATAAATATCCATACACTTACACACAAGTTATTGTCATGAAACTAGAAAAATGCTTGTTTTTTGCCCCCTAATTCCTAAAATTTGGAGGCAATTACCCCCAAAATCAATCCCAGCATTCAAACCCTCAATCAGCATCATTTAACAGTAATATCTAAAAATGGAAATTACATAATAAAGGTATTAAAATAGAAAATGACATCATAGTCATGGCTAAAAATAAACAAAATCCTTAATCAGCAACATTTTACAGTAATATCTAAAAATAAAATTCCTTTGTAACCATAAAAGCCCATTTAAATACATCATGACAGATATTAAAATAAATAAAATGCTTCGCTGGGCGCAGCTTGATACGACCGCAGAGGTCGAACCCTGAACAGTTGGGGTAAGTATGGACACAACATTCAAGCTCTGAATTTGGATTGTGATTAAATATTTGACACAGCATAGGTTTCTGACACAGAAAGAATGTGGTCTAAGAACTTCAATTTTTTTAATTTAACTATTATGGTCCAATGTCCAAAATCATAATACATGGTTAGATTCAGCATATCAAAGAACCCCATATATTCAATTTTTGTTGAAATCAAACAAAGTTTAATTTTGGACCCCAACTTGGACAAACTTGAAAACTGGTCCCACAATCAAAAATCTAAACACATGTTTAGATTCAGCATATCAAAGTACCCCAAGAATTCATTTTTTGTTAAAATCAAACTAACTTTAATTTTGGACCCTTTGGACCTTAATGTAGACCAATTTAAAAAACGGGACCCAAAATTAAAAATCTAAAAACACGGTTAGATTTGGCATATCAAAGAACCCCAATAATTCAATTTTTGATGAAATCAAACAAAGTTTGATTTTGGACCCTTTTGACCTCAATATGAACCAATTTGATAGCGGGCCCACAAATAAAAAATCTAAATACAAGGTAAGATTCAGCATATCAAAGAACCCCATATATTCAATTTTTGTTGAAATCAAACAAAGTTTAATTTTGGACCCCAATTTGGACCAACTTGAAAACTTGGCCAAAAATCTAAAATCTAAATACATGTTTAGATTCAGCATATCAAAGAACCCCATATATTCAATTTTTGTTGAAATCAAACAAAGTTTAATTTTGTTGGACCCCAACTTGGACCAACTTGAAAACTGGGCTCATAATCAAAAATCTAAACACATGTTTAGATTCAGCATATCAAAGAACCCCAAAAATTCAATTTTTGTTAAAATCAAACTAAGTTTAATTTTGGACCCTTTGGACCTTAATGTAGACCAATTTAAAAAACGGGACCCAAAATTAAAAATCTAAATACACGGTTAGATTTGGCATATCAAAGAACCACAATAATTAAATTTTTGATGAAATCAAACAAAGTTTAATTTTGGACCCTTTTGACCTCAATATGAACCAATTTGATAGCGGGCCCACAAATAAAAAATCTAAATACATGGTAAGATTCAGCATATCAAAGAACCCCATATATTCAATTTTTGTTGAAATCAAACAAAGTTTAATTTTGGACCCCAGTTTGGACCAACTTGAAAACTGGGCCAAAAATCTAAAATCTAAATACATGTTTAGATTCAGCATATCAAAGAACCCCATATATTCAATTTTTGTTGAAATCAAACAAAGTTTAATTTTGGACCCCAACTTGGACCAACTTGAAAACTGGGCCCATAATCAAAAATCTAAACACATGTTTAGATTCAGCATATCAAAGAACCCCAAGAATTCAATTTTTGTTAAAATCAAACTAAGTTTAATTTTGGACCCTTTGGACCTTAATGTAGACCAATTTAAAAAACGGGACCCAAAATTAAAAATCTAAATACACGGTTAGATTTGGCATATCAAAGAACCCCAATAATTCAATTTTTGATGAAATCAAACAAAGTTTAATTTTGGACCCTTTTGACCTCAATATGAACCAATTTGATAGCGGGGTCCACAAATAAAAAATCTAAATACATGGTTAGATTCAGCAAATCAAAGAACCCCATATATTCAATTTTTGTTGAAATCAAACAAAGTTTAATTTTGGACCCCAATTTGGACCAACTTGAAAACTTGGCCAAAAATCTAAAATCTAAATACATGTTTAGATTCAGCATATCAAAGAACCCCATATATTCAATTTTTGTTAAAATCAAACAAATTTTAATTTTGGACCCTTTGGACCTTAATGTAGACCAATTTGAAAACTGGATCCAAAATTAAAAATCTAAATACATCGTTAGATTCGGCATAACAAATAAATAAATGTGGTCAAAGATTTTACAAATCTAATGCGCTATACTGTGTAATTAAAGATTACTTCTTGAAATTTTTCAATATTTGAAATTTGAAAAAAAAATAATATTTGAAGAATAATTCTTTTTAATTTCTGAAATCTGAAATGAGAAAAAATTGACCCCCCACAATTTCTTTTTACCCCCCCCCCCCCCATTTTTTCCCCCAAACCATAATTACCCATTTAAATTTACCATAGTGCTAACTTAATCTATTTTATAATAGAATTTAAAATATAGTGTCAAATCTTTCATATGGATTTTTTTGTAAAAAAAAAAAGATGCAACATTTGCAGATATTTTTACTGGTCTTCCTTTATAAATATGCATTTCTTTAAACATAATTTAAAAGCAGTGTAAGGGAAGTAACCAAAACGTTGTATTTGGATTACCTCCCTTACACTGTTTTAAATTATCTTAATTGTTCATTAACCATTACTTTATACATAATTTAAAAGCAGTGTAAGGGAGATAATTTCAATGATGTATTTGATTTATCTCCCTTACACTGCTTTGAATTATGTTTT